TAATTATTATTATTTAAACAATGAAACATTTATTTTTTAATTTATTAAATATCACCTATTCTTCTCAAAACTGGAATGAAAGCAATACTAAGCGGCATTTGAAAATATTATTTAAATACATAAATGTTTTTATAGCTCGATTCTGTCTTAAGCAGAATTGGGAGAAATTTGATATTCTTAAATTACTTTTGATGTTGGTCTATATAAAATATATACGTATAAAAGTTTATACAAATTTTATGGTATTTAATTAAATATTACAAATTTTTGGTCATAAATTTGTCTCAATAATTTGTTAAAATGAAATCTTTATCATATTTATATATTGAATTAAATGGCAAAATTATTGAATTAAAAGAGAACATAATTTTATCTTTAAACTCCTTTTTCTCGCTGGTTTCTTATATAAATGATGGTGGACATTTATGCTTCATCTCATTCTCTGCCAGGACAGTTATTTAAGAATGAATATGTATTTAAGTATGTTTATCTTATCTTGATGAATTGATTTCATTCTTAGGTTCTTGAGCAATTCGAAACTCTAACAAGTCATATATAGCTTTCTCAATCAGTTGGTGGCAATAGTAGGAGCTAATATATTTCAAGTATTTTTTTTTATAGATTACTTTACTAGGGCTCAATTGCTTTAAATGCTTACAGCAGAGCAACATACGATCAACATAAACATTGCTCTATTAAAACTGATATGTCTTAACTCTTATATAGCACTCTGCGAAGCTCAAACGTTTACCTGCTTGTCAATTGTCATTGCTAATTGTGTGAAATTGCTTAATTAAGCGTTTAACTTGTATTAAGTGGCGCTTCAAAGTAACGCAATGCAAATGCCCTTCCACAGTTACATCACACACACACGCATCTCCACTCATACACACACGCTTTATAAGCTCTATTTGTGAAGAGGCAAGGGGGGTTTGGGTGGGCATTGCACGTTGAACGGCACATCAATTATTTATAGAACATTTTTGCAAAATATCTACGCACTAATTTGCGTAAAGTAATCGATGTGGTGGAAAAATTTTCACGCATGCACAAATGGGGTTGACCTGACCCGAGCGAAGCAAGGGGAGTTACGTGAGGCATAGGTGTAACGGAGCCGATATTGGGTTGAGAGCACAAAATGGCCTGAGCGGAAGCTAAAAATTACTAGCTACCCCTACAAGGCTGACACCCGCAAGATAGACTTGTGCGTAAATTGGCGACCCGACCCCAGTTGCAGTTGCATTTTTAGCCAAGTATATAATGGAGTCTATGTAAAATATTAAATATATATAGAAGTCATATGTATATAAATAAAATGCGCATAGTCAAAAGAAGAGGAAGAATCATAGCATTGGTAGGGGCAAAGTTTATTGATATTTTTACACACACACACACACGCGCTCACACACATATGCACACGCTCACCTGCGATGCGTGCGAAAAGTATTGCATAAGCGCGTGGGCAAAATGGCCGCCAACAAGCCTTGAGCACAACTGTACGCAATTTTTGTGCGAAAATTGATGGGGTGGACAATGGTCGTAAATTTTAGAGTAGCCTACACACACTCACTCACACACTTACGCACAACTATCTGTGCAGGAAACAGGAAACCAGCGCCCATTTGTAGCAATGCATTTTATCTGTTTGCCGCGGCCAAAATCTGTGCGGCATGCGTAAAATGCGTAAAATTTATAGAGACGAAAAACTAGCCGTGCACGTCTTTCTAATAGCAAACGGATATTGTGGCTTTTGCCCATATATACACATTTCTAGATAGCCAAGGCTCTCAGCCAAGGCTCAGGCGTGCATGCGCCCGGAAGTTGGCTAATTGGGCGCTATTTCATAGGCAAAGGCAGAGGCAGAGGCAGAGCCAGAGAGCGCGAAGGCAGGCCATTTGCATAGCTGAGGTAATTGCTGGAGCTACGTAGCGATGGAGGCTTTCACGTACATCACTTCCCTTCAGTTATGCATTGCATGCATCAACCAAAAACAATAACCCTTCAGTATAATGCTCAAATTATTGTTTAGGCATTTAAATTAAAATGAAAACAATAAAAGAGCAGCGGCTGAAGCAGCCAGTGCACTGTTATAATTATGTAAAAACAGTCTAAAGATTGACTTGACTTCTATGCATAATTCGCACACACACACACACACACAGACACACAGGCACACACTTGGATTTGCTAAAAGCGCATGCGAAGACAACATAAATTTGTGCCGAGTGCCTAGGCTGAGGGCGGGGCGGGTCGGCGGCTCTGTTAGAGAGTGCAACCTGGTAATTATCAATGGCTGAGCGGCAGGCACAAGTTGGCAACATTGTCTGTCTTGGCTGCCGCCACTGCCGTCTCCCAGGCGGCGGCAGCCTCCAGTTGCCCTTAGCCCATCATCCGAAACGAGAACACACGCAAAAAATGTAAAGTGGAAAAAATTTCGTGGCACTTGCTGATGAAAAGGGTTGCAAGCGGATTGGGGCACACAGTTGCGGTTGCAGTTGCCTCCAAAACCCGATTACAGCTCTCTCTCTCTCTCTCCCACTCACTTTATCTCTTTCTCTCTCTCTGCCCCACATATGCGAAACAAACCAAACTTTTGCATTTTTTCTATGTAGCTACAATTAAAAAATATATGAAAATTGTTTGTGGATGCTACACGTTGCCAGGGCTGCAGAAAAAACGTAAAAAAAAACAATTGTTAGAGAAGATTTATCCGAAGTAAAAATGAAAATTATATTTTAAGAAGCTTGCTATTAATTTGAATGAAAAAAAAGTAAAAAAAAAAAAATACAAGTTCATATAAAATAAACTAAAAAAAAAAAATTAAATTAATTAAAATAATAATGCTAATAATTAAAAT